GATTCACGATTGAATTTTTCCCCGTGAGTGTGAGTGAGCGTGAAAATTTTTGTCGTGAACGTGAGTGAGCGTGAATGAAAATTGTCCAATTTACCGACACTATTCTAGATTTAGAAAAATCATGTTTCAACTTGATGTGGCATAGACTATGCCGCATAGTATCGCAGGTAAAATAATGTCATTTTTACGGTTATATACTCTATATGTGAACACTCTGAAATTGGATCCTGGTACAGATCTGATTTTAATGGTTTTAGAGTGAATTTTCTGAATTTCGTGTACGATAAGTATTGCAAGGACTTTAGTACAGTTTTGTCAATAATGTACTATTTTTAAAAATATAATAATGATTATCGCAACTATTTTATTGATGTATAACATTAACTGAATAAAGGATTGTTTGTTACCTTTTGACTGATTCACTACTTTTATTAGTCTGAATATTAAATGACTCATCAAGTCCTGGCTCTAACGATAATGACTCTAACAACTATTTATATATATACTATTAATTAAGCATTGATTAAACACTTGATACTATCATTTACCGACTAATTTATAATTTAATTGGTCTGCATAATAAATGGCCATTGACGACTACACATTATAATACAGTGCAACTTCTCTATAATGAACGGCCAGTTGCACGACAAAAGTTATAGGGAGGGTTCATCCAAGGGAGGTTCGAGTAAAATGTCTTATTTTTGCTTAATATTTGTAAATTCACTAATCACAGAATGAATATAGTTTTTATATTGCAGATTCTAGCAATATTGAATGAAACTACAAATGTAAATGAGTTATTTGTTTGTTTAAAGTCTTAGATTAGAAATTATTTTGAATACTTTACAAATCATATTCTCATAATAATTATGAGAATTAATAATTATTAATAATTATTATATTTGTTTGTTACAGAAAGTGGAAATTTGATCTTAATCTCTATAAATCCGCTCTATAAAAATGTTATTTATTGGAAATATCGTCATGTATATGCGATATATGTTATATGTGATCAAGTTTATTTACAATTTACTAATTAGTTCATTAATATTTGCAGTAAATTATTAAAGCAACACGCAAAATTACACAAAAATGATTACAACAAAGTAAAGTTTACAAATTGTTTCTTACATTCATCATTTGTTTGTGCCATTTATTTTACGTAAGTAATTAATAACATTTATAATTTATCCATGATTATTCACCAAAATATTTGTTACACAGTCGGTACAAAACAATATGTATGGCTCATGTCTTCTGGATTTACAAATGATATTCAACTGTACATTCGCTGAGATATCACATGCATATACAGTATTTGGCATTACCTACACTATCGGCTCGCTAAGTAACCAGCATCGTTTGTTACTACAATTATATAGCTACAATAATGTTGTATTAATTCATACAGGTGGTCCGGCATTTAATCTATTTAACAAACAATTATTATTTATGGTGTTTATGAATCATATTTGCAAAATATTTTTTAAGATTTAATATAAAAGTATTAAAACTGTTTATATTATTGAGAGAGATATCTAAATTGCAATAAAAACTCCTGTATAAAAAATTGAATTCATAAAACATTGAAGTTTCACTGTTAAACTTATGGTATGAATTATATATATTAAATATGAATATTGTTTATGTAATTATTATAAAGATAAGATTATTTATGTATTTATAATTAAACGATCAATCCTCATTGGTTTCTAAATAGCAAACGCATTAATTATATAATTTCTTATTATTAAACATCGTCTAAAAATTTTTGTTTGATTTTGTATTAAATTTTTTTGGTATAAATAGACGTTAGGTTTGCATTAAAGACAACGATATGGCGGATAACGGATCTAATGACACAAAAATGAAGTCTGAGGTATGAGTTGTAAAGTATACTGTTATCTGTTTTATATATTGAAAAATAACTATTGAATGAATTTGATTGTGAAATCAAGTGTTGATTTTTAAACAATTTATTACAGAAAACTACTGATTTGTTTCCCGAAAGGAATTTCTTTATGAATGAATCCAAAAGTGATGTCGTATTCATAACCGATGGCCAAAGAGTGCCCGCATTGAGATACGTATTAATGGTGGGAAGCGTTTACTTTGAGGCCATGTTTTCGGGAAGTTTTGCCGAAACAGACAAAAAGGAGATCGAGATTAAGGACACCACTTATGAGGCGTTCAAAGCTATCGTTTGGTACTTATATTCACGTAAGCTATCATTTAATGATAAGGAAGACATGGATTGCGATCTCGTGTACGATGTGTCCAAATTAGCCGACGCTTACGGTTTGCCCCGACTTTTGAAACTGATTACCAAATATTTGATCAAACGGTTGACAACAGAAAACTTGCCATTAATATCGAAAATTGCATTCAATTATAGTATAACAGAATTGAACGCAAAAGTTAAGGCATTTATTGATTTACATTATAAAAAAATTGTTGCCAAAGACATGGATTACTTGACACAATTGATTAACACAACTGATGGCCATTTGTTGGCCAAATTGGTGGCTAAGGAACGCAAACCTGTGTACTACCATTGTGCTGGTTGCAGGTCAAATGTTGAAGAAATTTATTGTATTGATTGTACAGCCCTGATTACGAATGAAGCCTTTTGAAAATGTGTACAAACTTGCATATGTGGCGCCATCTGTGTTACCCTGCCGCTTAGTAGTTAGTGTTTCCTGCAAACTTGCTTTGCCTCACTTTGCAGTGTATTGCAAGAAACACTAACTACTAAGGGGCAGGGTGACACAGATGGCGTCACATGTGCACGTTTGTACACATTTTAAAAGGCTTCATTCGTAATTAATTTATACACTATTCATAATTCATTCATATATAAAGTACACTAATGTAACGAATGGGGTTTAAACGCTTTTACTATATATTAGGGCATTAGGGCACTTGATGACTGCAATTATTGTAACGTTTATAAAGAATAATAGTTGATTAATAAACTTGATGATTCAAAAACTACGTTTGAAATATTTCAGCCCGACCTCCTTTTAAACATTAATGCCAATAATTATTCACATAGAATATATTCCTGTCAAATAGATTAAAATTAATTAATGTAAATTTCAATATTATTCACATGATTTACCCGTTAATCTCTGTTTATCACGACTAGAGCTGTTTTGTAAAATTTAAATACTAAGTTAATGAGATATTAGTTGTTTGCAAATATTAATATAATTAATTTGAACTTGGTCTTTTTAAATCAATAATTAAATTCTTAATAATTATTATAATATTATTTTTCTAATATTAAAATAGTAATACTGTATCTAAGTTAAATATTGAATTATAGACTGCATGAAAAATATAAAGATGAATTTAATGTGGTAGACAGTAATATCATGTCAATCATGTGGTAAATAATGCAAATCAGGTGCTGTTTATAATAATTGCTGCCACTAATTTCGAGTACTTTATTTTAATAAATATTTATTTAATATAACCAACTTTTTAGTCTTATTGTTTTTAAATTACATTTGCAAAATTATAATTTTTTGTTTAACATTGATTTTAATAGCAGAATATTCTTTGCAATTGCTATACTAACTCGTAAGTACTTCAAGAGTATAATGATTAGACATTTAATAAATGATAATTTAATTTTACTTTTTAAATAATTTTGTGTTTGAATTGACTTTTATGCAGACATTAATCCAATACTATATTTAATAATTGTTTCTCCTGTTTAAACCCTGGGTTGTTTAATTTAAGTTAATTTTCATTTAATTATCATGAATAAATTCAAACGTTCAAACTTGAAAATAATTATCCATGTGCGTGTTTTGTTACTTATTTAATATATCACCAGATATGTGACCAAGTTTATTTACAACTTACTTGTTAGTTTATTAATATTTTCAACAAATTATTAAATTGTAAAATTGTACAAAAATGATTACAACAAAATACAAATTATTTCTTACATTCATCATTTGTTTGTGCTATTTATTTTACGTAAGTAATTAATAACATGTATAATTTGTCTATAATTATTTACACAAATATTTGATTGTTGTATCCGTATAGTCGGTACAAAACAATATGTATGGCTCATGTCTTTTGGATTTACAAATGATATTCAACTGTACATTCGCTGAGATCTCATATTCGTATACAGTATTTGGCATTACCTACACTATTGGCTCGCTAAGTAACCAACATTATTTTACTTGAATTATTTAGCTACAATAATGTTGCTTTAATTCATACAGGTGGTCCGGCATTTAATCTATACCACAAACAATTATTATATATGGTGTTTATGATAGGGGTGGGAGTGACCACATGGATTACACCATACCTGTACAAAATACCGTTCCTATACCTAGTCATGGGATTCAACGGTATATTCGCGGGAGGGATAGACTCGGTGTCGTCGGTATGGGTGGTGGAGATGTGGGAACAGGACTGCGGGCCATACGTACAGGCGCTACAGTTTTCAGGCGCGGTGTCCGCACTCATCAGCCCTCAGATTATGACACCATTTCTGTCACAACCGGTGACCGTATATGAAGTGTTTGACACCAATAACACATTGTTGTTTACAGAGACGTCAATCGGCAAACAGTTGGCCAACTCTACCGACACGGCTGTGATAGACATACCGGGCCTAACATCCACTGTGAGTTCGGTGATTGTGGGTAACACTACGGTTGTTGGCGTACCGGTGCCGTCGCCCACCAAAATATACATACCATTTAACTTTGTCGGCGCTATAATATGCTCACTCGGCATAGTTATTGGTGCGCTAAACTTCTACCACCGGTATATACCCCGTGAGGTTCAATCCCGGGCACAAAACACAGGCGAATCTATACACAATGGTAATAAAATAATCATCATGATTAAAAAGGCCCGTAATATATTTGTAGTAGAGGTAATGCCATCGTTCTCGGTGTTTTGGCTAATTGTATTGCTATCGTTCATGATGGCTTTTGTAGGCGGAATGAATTCAACCTGGGGCATTTATTGGGTATCATTCGCCCAGTTCTCAGCCCTCAAAATCAACACGATTACATCCAATAATATACTGACAGCCCAATCGGGCATGGTCACAATAAGCCGGGCCATATGCGTTGTGCTATCTCGTTATATCAGGCCCGTCGTTATCATATACGCCAGTTTGTGTTTGCTGTTTGTGTCGGTGATATTGTTTTTGATTTTTGCAAACACCTCGCTCACTATGATGTGGGTGGGCAATATAATATTTGGTCTAGGTGCTGGCCCAATAACAGCGGCTATTTACCAGCTCCTGGAGTCCGTAACCCCCGTAACCAATATAATAGGCGCGATGTTTATATTTGTTGGCGGTTTTGTGTCCGTTATATTCACAGTAGTATTGGGTCTCTATATTGAGGCAAATCCCGTGATTTTAGTGTATATTGTTTTTGGTTGTCTTATTTTGTCGTCAATTTTGTATTTAATAATACATGCGATTATTTTATTATTTATTAAGAGGGAAATACTTGAGGTGACAAATAATGTTGATGGTAAAATTACAGAGATTGTTTCAGATCTCAATAGGAAACCGTCTTATATAATGAGATATTAAATGTTTAAAAATGTTTTTATAATTAATTTAATAGTTAGAAACGTGTTTAAAAATACAGTGTAATTAATTAATTAATTTTAACTATCCGTAAAATAATACATGTATTAGTACTGTAAATGATATGACATTTAATTTATTCAAACAATGCTATTGAGTTAAATGACCTTACAGTTAAATAACCTTAATTTATATTTTGTCCAAGATCAAATTTATCAGACGATTTCAAATGTATGAATATTTATTATATTATTTCGTAATATTTCAAGGTTTTTATTATTATTAAAATGGAACATAACTATTGTATAATGGTTATTTTATCAATTAATTAAATTAATTATAGGTTTTACAATAAATAGTATTTATATTTAAATTGTTAAATTTTAATTGTATGACATCTCAAATATTAATTGAAAATTATTTATTCAAAACTTTATTTATTTCACCTTTAATTAAATAAATACTCTCTCTCTCTCTCTCTCTCTCTCTCT